TATCCAGGGGACTGTAGATAGCTGTTGCAATAGGTTCTCTAGTGTTCAGAGTTTTAGGGCTGAAAGTCTTTGCTTGTCAAGTGGGTCATAACATGATTTCAGAACTCCCAGAGTTAATTTGAAAACTGTGTAATGAAGTTCTTGCTACAAGTACTTTTGTTATGACTTTGGCCTGAACCTAACAATATTACTTGTCAGGATACTTCTTTGGGGAAATGATCTCATTCCTGGTAGCTGGCAGTTGGAGAACAGACTCTCCTTTTGCAGAGAAGGAAAATACTTTGCAACTCTAATTTTGAAGTAATGATTTATTGCAAACGTAATTTTTCAACTTCATCTTCTTAATTCTCTGGAAGAGTGTAAAATCTCATCTGCTAAGCTGTAAAATGTGATCATAACGTCAGATGGATGTTCCTTCCCTTTCCTTACTCTATGGCCAGGCACTGAGATGTGTTATCAGGCAGTGAATTTTCGCATGGGAAGGTGAAACAGAGAGCTTTATTTATTTCAGAGTTGAACACTGTACTACACCAGGAATAACAGTAGAATTTCCCCTTCTAGAAAAAGAATAAAGTTGGTCATAGAAATGTTGCTAATTTGAAGCTGAAGCTTTTACTTGAACACCGTGGTCTTGCCATGTTCCTTGCCTAGGGAACTTGGTCTATGCACTTGGTTTTCATGAGAAGCATCTCATTTACTTGGGAAATCTGTTTTAATTCTTTTTAGCAGTGTAGATTGAACATGAGTTGCTTCAAAAATTCTGTGCTTTTGACACATGTCACTTTGGCTGGGTTTTAATTGCTGAAAATTGAATTGAACAAATTACAGAACCCAAGTTGGGTAATGTTGAAAGGCTTTCCTGTGTATCTTCTCTGTAAGTGGTTGGTGAGACTGTTCAGTCTAGCTGCTCAGCTGGTTGAGTAGAGAACATTTCAAAAGGCCTACCTAAGGGAGCATCATGCTCTCTTCTTTCCCTTTGAGATTTCATAAGGACAAGCACGGTTCTGAGTCGGATGGTGTTTGGAAGTCAGTGTGGTTAGTCTGCAGTCCTGCAAGCAACTGTATGAAGCCAATGACTGATGCTCTGCAACCTAGCTTGTGCAGTTACGCAGAAATCCTTTTCACCAGTTGCCTTAATGATGCCAGGTATACGTGGGATGCAACGCTTTTATTCAACATAACAAGGCATTGCAGTTGACCTGTGCCTAGTCATGCAAAATAAAATATTCATACGTACCAGTAACATTAATACTATGTTGGTTTGCAGGAAACTGATGTTGTTTCCTGATTGCTGGGGAGACATCCTCAGCATCTCAATACTTCTCTCCTTTCTCTTTGCCACCATCCATTTTGGCTCTGCACAATTCTTGCAGCTTGAATTCAAATGGCAAGTGGTACACCACACAGTGAGAGGAATACCCACTCACTTTTCTGAACTTTTTGAGCCTAAACTGATCAAAATAACATCTAGAATTGAAGAACCTCATATGTGTGTGGATAGAGGTGAAAGGCTCTCTTCCCTTGGTAAAGAGGACATTGTTTGATTTTTATTTTACTTCTTTTTTCTTTTCTACAGGTATCACATGGAATGCCTTAATCCACCTCTGAGTGAAGTCCCTGTAGATGAATGGTTCTGTCCAGCCTGTGCCCCCATGGGTGTCAGTGCTGCTGCAGGTAAGGGTTTCATGGTATCCACTCAAAGTAAATATTTTTCTTCTGACTTAGATAATGTGAAGCATGTGCTTTTTTAAAGAGGTGATTAACCCCTGGTTTTATCTGTTTTAAATAATTGTTTTGGTAGGCATTCTCTCTTGAACCTAAAGAGTTTACTTGAACTCTTGACTGATAAGAGAATCTTGTTTATTAAGATTTTTGTCTGGAGTTACAACCTGTGGAGGTGCTTCTTATAAGCATTCTTGAACCTTCCTCAGGCAAGCCCAGCATCGTAGTATAACTGCGTTGTATTACATTGGAAAGAATTTGTTAGTAACCTGACCTCAGATTGCCAAGGTGGCAGCAATTTCTGTTACCTCAAAATAGTCTTTCTGTGTAACAGTCTGAAGCGGTGGGGTCTGTGGTGATTTCCTTTTGAAAGGATAATGTCTGCCTTTGGAGTAGCTTGGTTTGAGAAAGGGAATACTGTTATTTGGGGGTTTGTTGTTTGGTGGGGTTTTTTTTGTCCAAATTCTTGAAATGCTTTCACCTGTAGAAAGACAAGTGACCTAGGCATCTTTTATTTCAAGATACAGATCATGTCAGCGAAGAAGAGGTTGCTGCCCTCGTGGCTGATGTTATTCCTACCACCAGTAGGCTACGCCCTCATGTCCGAACCCGAGCTATAGCCAGAACTCGGCAGAGCGAACGAGTTAGGGCAACAGTGAACAGAAACCGGATAACAACAGCACAACAAATTCAGGTATTTAGGGGTATTTGTTAATGAGCCTCTGGCAGAACCTTGGGGAAGAGTTGAAATAAGTTCCCCCTTAAGTAGCTCCATTGTCTGTGTTGACTGTCCATAGCATGATGGTTAGTAGTTGTGGAGTTCTTTTAAATTAAGATGTAGAACATGCAAATTGAGTGCAGCACATGACCAAGACTCTATTTTGAAACCTGTGGTAGCTTCATCTCTTAATCTGCATTTTTATTGCCTCAGCTGTGAGCAAAATGTTATTTTTATTCCCAGTTAATGCACAGTTTGTGCACCACTTCTGTTTTTTTAGCATGCTTTTTTTTCTGAGACAGGGCATGTTTATTTGACACTTGTATATTTGGTTATTTGTCTTCCTACCCCTTTTCCTGTAGCAGTAGAACCTGTTGGCCACCTTCGGCTAAATTGAAGAGAAAAATTTAGTATTTTTAAGGTTTCTGTCTTTGTGAAAATCAGCCTCTTATTGAAGAGAAAAAACCCAGGTGCTAGTGTCTTCAATGATGTAGCAGTGTGAATTCAACCACATTAAGAGGTACCAGAGAATCTATGGAAGGAAGTATCCCAAATACCCAAGGCCCCTCAAATCCTTTACTTATTGAACTGTTTACTGAAGATGACCACAGCTGAGATGTTTCTGGATGTTTCTGCTGTCTGGGAAAATAACGATCCTTTAGGTAACAATTAGTATGCTGCAAACTGAGAACTTTCAAACTTGGGGGTTTCCTGCCTGCTTTGCACTCTGGTTTTATCTAGAGCACTCTACCTGTCACTTGCATAAATATAAAAAGCCTTAAATTACACAGGAGTTTCATAGTGACTTAGTGTGGAAGCAGAGCCTGTAAATAACCTCTATGGACTAGGGACATGTTAATTGGTTCTTCATTAATGCTGCTTTTGAATTTGGTAGAAATATGTGAAATTCTACAACTTTTGAAAGGAAGAGGAGGATCTGACTTGACATAAGGAAAATTTGTTTTCCCCTGAGGATGGTCAACCATGGGAATAAATTACTTGGACAGTTCTTGAAATCTGTCTTTGGTGGCATTCAGTACCCACCTGCAGAAAGGCCCAACCAACCTGATTTGAATTCAGTGTTGACCAGTCAACAAAAAGGTCGGACCCTTCTGAGGGACACCCCAAGATCCTGTCCAACTTGACTTACTCCATGATTCTATGAAAATAAACTTGGTTTCATCTGACAATAACATGTGGTTTTGGTTTTCATTCTATGAAGCCAGTTTTTTTCCCAAAGATAGGAAAATGTAGGAAAGAGGAAGAAGGGAAGAGTAGATTAAGTATTTCTTCAAGTCGGTCAGTTGGCTGTGGATTTCAGGTTGGGTCTGCTGTAAAGGTTCTTCTTGGAGCATGAAAAGCAGACTGGAAAAAGACTGAGTTGGACGTAGGAGGTCTGGCAGATTAAGCTTTCCGTTGTAATCCTGTTGTAAAGGTGAGATGAGAAAGAAAAAGGAAATGCACTTTAGGTTGTTAAGTGCCTCAACTTCATGAGCTACACTTCTATATTATGTAACTTCAGGTAGAAGAAATAAAGGTAAATAAAGATGGACTCAAGGGAAGCAGAACAAAATGCAAAATCTGTTTGGGGGGGGAAAGTGGAGTTTTTTCATTATCTTACCTTCCTGCTGGTTGGGAAGAACAGTCTACTGTTAATTAACTCCCCAGAGTTTACCTGTTAAATTTCTCATCAAAATCATTGTAAGTGAGAGGAGAGAAATTTGTAGCAAATCCCAAATGACCTGAATTACAGCAGTAAGTACAGTTTGAAATAGGTGCCATGAACAAAGATCTAACTCACCTTAAGTTTTTATCATGTTTTTTCCCTTGATTTAAGGACTTCCCGCATCGCTTTAGCAGTCCTTAAATTCATTGTGTCCTCTGTGGTGGAGGTCATCTTATTTGACTGCCAACCCTGCTGTCTCCAAATCCAGGCCTTTTAATTTCAACTTTGAAGAATTAATAAAATAGAAAAAACTTGATGAATGATTTGATGCATTGTTGTTAAGCAATTACATCTGAGTTGTCAGGGCTATATGTTGACAAAAATAGCTGTAGAAGAGTGTTGTTTGAGGTGAAAGGCTGTGCAAGGTAACTGCTAGTGCTTTTCTTTCTTTCGCTATCTGTTGTTTTAGAAATAGTCTATAGCTGTCTTCTGCAAATGAGAGAGGTGGTGCCTGGGGACTTTACCTTTGCGTGGTAGTCCAAGTTCAATACTTCCTATTCAAGAAGCCATCCCTAGCTCCACTTCTCAATCTGCAGAGATTATTACAAACTATACCTAGAAAGGCACTATTACTTACTCCCTTTGTCTCTGAATAAAAGTGCCTCTTATTCTAACTCATATCTTGAGTTGACTGAAGCTTAATTCCACTAGTTAAGGAGCATGTAAGCTGTTGTCCTCAAAGCATAGAGAGATGCTGATGTCAGATCCTTGGAAAGCTTTAGTATTTGGGGAGGCAGTTTGTTTTGTAATTCATCTGCTGCTTTGTGGGTGCCTAAACTAATGGTGGTTAATTAGATGGGTCTATTTTTGGTCCTTCTAGAAAAATAAATCACAGAATCACAGAATGATAGGGGTTGGAAGGGACCTTTGGACATCATGTAGTCCACCCCCCCTGCCAAAGCAGGTTCACCTAAAGCAGGTTGGACAGGAATGCATCCAGGCGGGTTTTGAATATCTTCAGAGAAAGAGAATATGTTCAGGCTTTCCGTAATCCATCCTGTTCTCTTCCAAATCAGAGAACCTTATGTAGTGTTTATTGGCACTCATGATGCTGAAAACAATGGCGTTATAATAAAAATAGCTCAGCAAAATAGTTTGAAGCATGCATTAGTGACGCTAACAGAGGAGCCTGGTGAAATTACATTGCATTGTCATTGTTTGAAGAAAGGGGAGGAGGTAGGAAAGATGTCCCTGCCCATGGCAGGGAGGTTGGACTAGATCTTTAAAAGTCCCTTTCAATGTAAACCATTCTATGATTCTATGACATTTTAGGAATATGGTTGGTGTGGGCATGGCCAACTTAACATAGCTTTTGGGAGAAACCTGCTCTTAACATCTTTCCAACTGAAGGAGGGAGCAAACCTGTGCTATGTTTGCCCAGGAAGGAGGCTTTGAATTCATGTTCTGAGGCTGGTGATTCAGAGTCCATATACTTCAAATGTGTTTGTTTCAATGTGGTTGACCTTTGAGTACAGAGAGTAGGAAGTATTTGAACCTTATAGGAGCAGTCACTGCTTATCTCAATGAAGTAATCCTCTGGAGGGGGACTTGCACCTCACTGAGTTCCCGAGATGTGTGTTTGAAATGCTGCCTCTGGACATGTTTCACAGGATTAGGTAAATCTGACCTAAAGAATGAGGAGTTTAAGACAGGAGACCTGTACTGTGTGGCTTTTCAGTCTTAGCTCATCTCGCTTTGCTGTGTAATGAGCTAGAGGTCCGTTACATGGATTAGGGAAAGTTAAGTGAACTTTTTCATTGAGGAAATGTCAATCTTAGGAGTTGTTCTCATTTCAAGAGTCAGAGTTAGGCTAGCCGTGACTTGTAATACTGAGGGAGGCTGAAAAGTAAGGTTATGTTCTCCCTAATATGACAGTCAATAGGTGAGAAAGGTGATATAATTGCATAACTGGCAGCTTGGTGGCATGAGTGCTTCTCATTCAAATATCAAAGCCAATTTTGCTTTCATAACTAACTTGTTGCTGACCTTTAGATAACTGTATAGTGTAACTTCTAATCCCCCATGCAGCATGTGCCAAGGTACCTCATGTCCTCTCTTCTGGATGAAACAATTGAGGCAGTTGTAGCAGGCCTAAACACAGCCGTCTACCAGCGTCCTCTTATGCCGCGGCCTCATACTAGGCAGAAAAGAAAAACAGGTAAGGGCTTCGGACACCTTCCGTGGTTCCCATCTTTGGGAAGATAAGCCTGAATCATACAAAACAGATCAGCTGTATGCTGCCACGCCTGTGCAGCTACAGAAGTATACCACATGCGTTTTCTTCTGTCCCTATACTGCCTCTGCCCAGAAGGGTCTTGAAGGTTGCTTTTAAATAAATCCTAATGATTTCACTATTTCTGCTCTGCTGTTTTATACGGTTGCAGTACTCTGTAGGTCTCTTTGAGCTGCTTTGTGTGCCCTGGGGGAGTGAAAAGGGGAGTACAGGGTATAATGCAGTGCCAGCACTTAGCCAGATACCTGGTTGGTTTTTGTCCCATCAGGTAGGAGGAAGAAAGTAGGAGGCAAAAAAAGAACTCAGACAAAGTCTTCTGCTGGGAAGAAGAGTTCAGGGACACAGTTGAAGAGACGCAAGCGCCTGATAAAGAAGAGAAGGGGGAAAAAGATGAGAGTAAGATCACATGTGAGTTTCTGCCAGTGTCAGTATCTGTCATTTTTCAGCCATCTGTAAAAGCACTATAACATGGGACTCGATGGGAAAAATACTGTCTTATAACGATACCAGATAACTTTTTTCTGGTAGGAGTATGTGCAGGATGTGTCCAGTGCCCTCTAGAAAGATGCTGTACGTGGAAATGAATTGCAACTTCCAGGCAGGCCTGCTGGCTTTGCTGACAAATCCTGTTACACTGTAAAGCATGTCCTGCAGGCTTTGTGTTATGTCTTGCCATTCAGCTGTAGTGTTTACTTGGTACTGATGCAAGCTCTGTTAAAATTACCACCACCTATTCTTTTTAATAGGCTATGGACGTTTGTGTCAGTGTTGTTGGAAGCCCAGTTAATCAGCCATAAGGGCTCTCAAAATCCCTTTCAGTTGTGGATAGTGTTCTCACATGAACTATAATGAATACTCTGCACCAGCTTGACTTTTGTCCTCAGCTACCTTAACTAGAGTTTACGTCTTACAGCCAGAACTGTCCCTTCAGCCTTTAACAAGGAATTGACAATTTTGAATGACATTATTAAAGATTTTTAGAAACTTAACTTATCTGGTCACTTAAATGTGATACGTGCAGTCTCTGTATGTAGTAACATATAGGCCATAGTTAGAAGTTTAATAGTTGCTTTAAAACAAATATAGACAATAATTGCACACCACTTCTGCTACCGATGGTAGTAACCTGATGATTGTATTTAGCCTAAGTGAAGAACTTGGGGCTTTATCCCCAGGGTACATACCTGCCCTAACATACAAATAACCCAATCTCTTTATCTGTGCAGGTGAAAAATGAGGTTACTACTCGCTCCCGTATCGCAAGAACTCTTGGTCTTGGTAAACCTGTGCGTGGCGCCTCACTTCCTTCCATGTACAAACCAACAGAGCCCTCACTTGGTCTGATGAGAGCAGATATTGGCGCAGCTTCTCTGTCTGTGTTTGGAGATCCATATGAGTTGGATCCTTATGAAAGGTAAAATGTCTCTGGATTATGATCAGGGACCTGATAATTTCACAAGTGTTGGGTTGTTTGTATATGTGATTTTTTGCAGAGTGTAGATGTCGTGTCTGAAGACAGCATTGGATACATAGCTCATAATAACACATTGGCCTGTTCTTTCCTTCCTTCTTGGCCGACTTGCTGAGCTCTTAGAGAGTCAGGCTTCTTTAATGAGGTTTGCTGAAATAAACCTTTGCCTTGTGAAACCTTTAGTAAGATCTATGGAGTTATTCAAAGGCTAGAATCTGAAGGAGTCGGATCCTAATCAGTCATTTTCTATTTATTTATTTTAAGTAAAGATAGCATATTTGGTGTACAATAAACAATGACTTCACATAGAATTAAATGGGTCTGTGGAATCTTCCATGTTTCTCTTTTTCCTATCTTCACTATTCCAGACACTTTACATTCACGAGGAATCTTACTATGCCATAGTTTGTCATTCTTAATCTTTGGATTTTGGGGAACAGGCATCTGAAATCATTGTTGGTGAAACTTAATTTTCCACTGAAAAAGTCTTTTTGATCCTTTCAAAAAAGGAAATTACCCATTTAATATTTTAAAAATAAAAATCTGTGTTTGAATCTCTGCTGACTGGGTTATGCTGTTCTATTTATGTAGCCACAGGAAAAAAAGTATATTGCACAAATCTTTTTTTAAGTATCCTAATAAAACAAACAATGCTCTCTAACTGTACCTGTCCTAGTAGTATTATGTACTTCATCTATTTGACATGAAAAACATTCAGACAATTTGAGGGTTTGTGTGTGTGTTTTACCCACAGTAACGAAGAGGTTCCAGCAAATCCAGATTCACCAGTCAGTGCCAAAAGGAGAATTCTCTCCCAGTCAGCCCTGAGGTCTCACCGTCCTGTAGCTAGACCTATTTCTGTGGGACTTCCCAGGTAAAAATTAATCAAGTTTTTTATTTTATTTTATTTTTCGTAATTGTCTGATGACCCTAACAAAAGAGCAAACTGGGTGGTCATCCTGGTTTAACTCTTCTCTTGCCCTTAGTATTTTGAAAGTGTGCGTGCGTGCCTCCACATCTGTAGATAAATAACCACAGCATTTTATGCAAGAATACTTTTTTTTTTTTATGTTGAAGGACACACACTTATTCTTTCACAATAGCTCTAACTGTTGCACTGAAATTTCAAATTGATATTTCTACCCTAATCTGGCTCTTCTTGTTTTGGGATTGTTTAGTAACCTCATTACCCCATTAGTATGGTTTAAATCCCAGTCTCATTAGCCTTTAGAAACCACTCGCTTATTTAAGAGGGCTGGGGAATCATAAGGAGGAGAAGATGAGAGATGTACCCTTCTCACCCAATTCCTTTGTGATTTGTTGGAGCTCAGAAAATTGAGAGAAAACTCTTTGTTTGATCCTACAATTTAATAGTTGTGTTGCTGTCTGACAGGTGTCTCTGTGTGTGCACATTGTGTGCCCCTGTGCCTGCCAGAGCCCGAGAGCATTGCTGGGTGCCTCCCACTGGCAGCCACAGTGGGTTTTAAGAACCGGGGTGTAGAGTGCAGAGTGGTAGGCACAGGGGGCAGGAGCATGATGAGAAGAAAAGGGATGGGGAAAATGACTGGAGCAGGTACCAACCAAGTCACAGAAAACTGCAAGGCTGAGGGATTTGGAAACTAGGAGAAATGGAGGGAGCTCAGTTTAAATGATTAAAGCTATGAGAGGTTTACATGGATGTCCTCTAATGCATCTGGCGTGGCAAAGGTTGGTTTCTCAGGATTTAGATAGTATATTTGTATGATAACTTGGAATATTTCTCTACCTTTCCCATCTCAATCCTGAAGGAAGCCTTTCAGGAAGCTTTCCGTGTCCTCAGATTTATTTGAGTAGCACATTGTTTAGAAGGTAGAACTGTTTAGTTGAAATTCAGTATTTCGAAAGGCTTGACATGCCTGGACTACAGTGATTTCCCTGGTCTGGCCTGGGTGGCCAACTCTTTTAGCCTTCCCATTTTGTTTTTCTGTTGTATGTTATTATAGGTTTTTGATGTACATTATGTTTGGAAAGTTTGCTTTGTTGGCATACAGAAATGAAGTGTAGCTCCCTCAAAGAGCTGGATCTGTTGGTCCCCTTTGAAGTTGGTTTGTTTGTTTTTTGTTTTTTTTAAACCTAAACAAAACAAACCCCCACATCCCACCAGAACAAAAGCAAAGAAAGAAAAACAAAAAAGCCATACCCCAATACCGAAAAACACTGAAACCTTTTCAGTCCATATTTCAAGAACAGAGAATTTATAGTTAAACCATTTTGATAAGATTGAGTAATGCATAAAGGGGAGTGTTTGTGTTGTCCCATGTGTGGAAGCATTGCTGTTGTTTTTCAGTGTAATTCCTCCTATGCCATACTCTTAGCTACCCTACCAATAGGCACCTATGTGTATTCTGACTGGTGCTAAACACTTGTTCAAGCTGCATCAGTTTTTTCAGATAGCATTGTAGGCCTGAGGAATACTTTTGTGGTCATGATTTGGTGGGGGGAAGAGAGGCAGCTAGGAAGGAAATATCTCTGAAGTGCTAAGCAATGGTTTAAGCTTTAAGATGCATCTGAAATGCACTGGAAAGTCAATCTTGATACACAACTCAGTGAACACCACTCTTAAATAAGATAAAAAGCATTTGCTTACCCAAGATCTCCGGTATGATTACATGCTTTCCTATCCTGTGGTGTAGGTGTAGGAAGTCAGTAAATGCTTCACCTTCTGTTTGTCAGGGGGAGGTGGAGGCTGAATGACTCTAGTGAAGCCAAAACTACAAGTGAACTTCCCTGGGTGACCTCTGTTTATATCCTTGATTTTGGTTTCTTTTTAATGTAATGTGTGTGTATAGAACAAGTGCTGTAAGAGTAAAGGAAATATAACCCTTCTGAAACATACAGAAGCAGTGTACCTGCCTTGAGTCCTGATCAAGAAGCAGAAACTGCCCCTGTGCCTGATCTGTTGGGAAGTATCCTGTCTGGACAGAGCTTTCTCATGATGAGTAGCTCAGATGTGGTCATCAACAGAGATGGTTCGCTGACGGCGAAGAAGGCAGGTAAGGGTTTGGCACTTCATAGTGCAGTTAGCCTCTTTGTGTCATCCATGTCTTCCCTGGTCCTACAGGCTGCATAGCTTCAAACATAGGGATACTCTTATTGAGCCTTTGAATATGTAGGATAGATTCAGTAGTTGTCAGCAGTAATCTATCTAATGAGATTCTTATGTATGCTCTGAAATTGTGTTACTTGCCTCCATTTTAATGGCAGAGCTGAGATGTTACTGGAGTATTTTGGTTTTAATAGGTAGTTTTCTTCTTTCAGAAGCACTGTAGTTTCATGCTTTGCTATAAAAAATGGAGGACTGTATACAGCAGAGATATCTTAGTACCCAGTTCTTCTGGCATTTGTCATGCGTGGCTGCCATGCCTGTGAACTGTACTTCAGTTAGAAGACCAGTGAAGAGCACCTTGGCAAGAAGTTTCTTTTCGAAAGTAGACCTCTAGAATACGTGCTAGCATCTTCAGCTGTGTCTTCCTTTGGCATGGTATTATCTGAAAAGAATCTCTTCAAATTGAAACTTAGAGCTTTATTCTTAAAACAATTACCTGTAACATCCTCTGTTGTAGTAATTTTTACTAAGCAGCAACTACTGGATAATAAACATGAATCTGGTCATATCTACAGAACAGAATAATTTAGTTCCTAAACATTAGTGTTTTAGCTCAAAGATGCAGTTGTCTGTCATTAAACCTCGAGCATCTGACCAAAAGAACTATTGGACTGCCTTACTGTGTGGTATTTTCTGCAAACCAAAATGGAACTTAAAATAATTAGCTTGGCACTTCTTTTTATGTTGGGGGAAAATGTCCAAATACGTACTGAAAAGCTTAATTGTTTGCTTGTATGCCATAGCTCCACTTAATAGAAAATCAACGAATGACTTGAGAGTGGATGATGGTTCGGGACTTAACACCCAACCGAGTACAGTGCACTCAGGGACAACGGCAAGCAGTTCCATTGCTGGACCTTCAGTTTCCTCTGGGCCGAGTACTCGCACCAGACCCTCTTCCTCAAGCTTGTTTTCATCCCCTTCGCCCTCACTGAGGAGGCTTGAGCCTGCAGCAAACCCTGCACAGACTACATCAGAAAAGGCAACTGTAAAACCAGAATATTCAATGACACCCAGGTCTATTCAGACTCAGAATACAGCTACTTTGAGCAGGCATGGCTCCAAATTAGGTGAAATGCCCAGATTTAATGGAAACTCTAAAAACTTTGCACCCAGTGACTCATCTTCAAAGCCTCTGAGCTGTAACTTGTATTCTGGCTCAAAAGCTGTAACTGTGAGGCAACCATTAAAACCACCTTCCAAGAGAATTGACATCTTTGAGCTTCCCAGGATACCAAAGATTAAAAAGGAAACCAGCAGCAAGCAGGTGGAGCCAAAACCCACAGGAAGCCAAAGCTGTGACATCCCCAGCTCCTGTATAACCCAGCTGACTGGCAAAGAGAGCACTAATCAGCCAGGAAGGGGTAGCAAGGTGGAAAGTCAGAAGTCAAATGCCAAGGAATCTCAGCAACAAACACATACAAGCGGGGTGTCTTTTTCTACCAATACAGGCATGTATAGCAGTTCATCACTACTGGGCACTTCAAGGAGCAAAGGCCCAAGCTCTTTCGAGAGTTTTAAAATCAATATTCCTGGAAACGCAGGGCATCCCAGCAGACTGTCTAATCCAGGATTTTGTAACACTTTCCGCCCTGTGGATGACAAAGTGCAACAGAAAGAGAGTCCTTCATCTCTTTTCTCAGTTAAGAAAAAGCAGGTTAAAAGTGAAATATATGATCCCTTTGAGCCAACAGGATCGGACTCGAGTTCAGCATGCAGCAGTCCTGAAAGGCTTGGCTCAGGGATCCCACTAACTAATATTACCAGGACTATTTCCATTGAAAATCCAAAAGTTCAAACACTTCAAACTGTCCGTCGTTTCACCCCTTACCTGGTAGAAAATATATTTGGATCTGGGGCTGACTCTGACGTACCATCTATTAACACAGAGTCTCGTGATGACATGACAGTAGAAAGCAGGATTGTAGAACAGATCTCTGATACAGAGGAACGAGACAATATGGATGATGAAGACTTTCTAAGCAGTCCTTGCACTTCATCTGCTGTTAAGCAAATTTCTAATGCAGAGTGTTTAAAGGAGGAAAGCAGAGAGGGCCCTAATGTGTTCTTTAATGCTGAAGAATTGATTAGACCTAATATTAATGTGAAAGTAGAACCAGATAGTCCCTCAAAGAATGAGGGGCAGCAGAAAGTTCAAAAGGTAGAACAAACAGAGCAGCGATCGCGTTCCAGATCCCGTTCAAACTCCAGCTCCCGAAGCAAGAAGATGAAAAGGAAAAAGGCACTTGTCAAAGAGCGTAAGAGATCCCGATCAGGGTCTAGGGATAGAGCACACTCAAGGGACCGAAGCTCCAGATCTACCTCGTGGTCAGGTGGAGAAGAGCATAGCAAAAAACACACGTTGAAACCCAGGAGCAGGAGGTCTTCTACTGACCGTTCCAGCAGTCACGAACGATCTAAAAAAAAGAAAATGAAAGATAAAACCAAGGATAAAAAGGCAAAAACTTCTTGCTCTAGGGAGAGGAGGAGATCTAGGTCACGTTCAGGTAGTCCTGGAAGTAATTCTGAGTTTTATGAAAACAGGAAAAAGAAAAGACGGTCTCGATCGAGATCAAGACGGAGGGAACGTTCCCGGTCGAATAGCATTGAGAGGACTAAACGGCGGAAACACAGGAGAGACAAAAGCTATGAGAGGTATGATAAAGATAGTAGCTTGAGGTCAAGGGACAGAAAGAGGTCGAGATCCAGATCTCGGGAGAGGAGAAAGTGGAGATCTCGGTCTCGGTCTGCATCTCGATCTCAGGAGCACAAAAGCAGCAAATCAAAGGAAAAAAGAACACGATCAAGATCACGTTCCAAAGAAAGAAAACACAGATCAAAAGAGCCCTCGCTTCCTTCTCCACCAGAAAAGGATGAAAAGCCTCCAGTTGAAAATGTGTCCAGGTGTCTGGAGCAATCCCATTCCTTCAAACAAGAGCCAAAGGAGGAGCTAGTACTAGAAGAGCTTTCCATAACCATTCAACCAAATGTCAAGCTTGAGGAAGTACAGGCTGAGACCCCGGTTCAACTGAGAGAGGCTCAAGAAACTATGAAGGTAGAGCCCATCTGTGAGGATACTTCATTCCCTGTGCCAGAGATCAGAAACATTTGTGTTCCAATAGGTAGTGTGGATTCTTTTGCTGAAACAGAATTAATGAGGAATAGTGATCCAGCAATGCTTGGTAGCTGTAGCAATACAAACCTTGAGATTACAGTTAAAATAGAAAATACTGCATTATGTCCATCTCTGATGGAACCACCTCCAAAGAAGGAAGTTGTTATGCACACTCCGGCTGAGGCTGCACCAATTCAAAGCTCATCCAAAAGCAAAATAACAGATTGTGTGAAGGAGGTTAAAGATGAGTGCCTTGTGTCAAATGAGAAAACTGGTAATTTCAGTAAGCCTGAACTGGAGGTGGTACCTCAGGGTCCTGCGTTGAAATCAAAAGCACCGGTGAAAAGAGTTACCTGGAATCTTCAAGAGGAAGAAAGCGGCACACTGACTGCCGGAAAAGCTCCAAGTAAGTTTCTCTTTTGGAAAACAAACAGCAGTTGAAGCAAACTGTACAAGGCTTAGGGTTTCGGTGCCTGGCTAAAACTGGTTGTAGTGTAACAGCTCTGTCATCTGAGCTGGGGTGATCCTGTGGTTTCCAATCCTGAGAGCTGGCATTTTGCACTTGTTGAAATCCTGAGGTGAGTTGTGTTAATGAATCAGAGAGGACATGCTGTCAGCACGGCTCAGCTAGCCAGCGGCAGCTTGTTCAGCCATGAAGCATGTATTGCAACCCGATCTCTGAACTGGCAGCCTGCGTTTTACCCTTTCTGCAGTTAACTAGAACGGTTGTTTTGCCTTCAGAATTCATAAATATTTCTCAGAACTAAGGAGCGTGACAAATCTCTCTAGCTTGCTTCTGTGAGCTATGCTAAGCCAAAGCTGCTAGAAACAGTTTGGCTTGGGACCCTGTGCTATGTGTGTTGACAGAGTTGCTTGTGTGGTTACTCTCATGGAAACCCAGTAAAAAGCAATTGCTTAAGGGGATAAGTCCTCTATTATCAGAAGCTTGAAAATGTTGATGACTGCTAAGCAAAATCCTTTTATAGCTAGCTTTGTTGTTAGATCCTTTTTATTTTAATATTTTTAAATACAATTGGCTTTAAATCTTTGACCAATTAGGTTTATTTTGTTCTTAAATGTTTTCTTTTCCTTCTCTTCGGGAATCTAGGGATGCCGTTTTACAAATTTCAGCGAGCAAAAGAAGGGGCCTGGAAAGCAGAGGACTTGAACCAAACGTTAAATCAGGTGCAGTTAAATGAGCCTCCTCCAACCAATTATATGATTCCTGAGCCTATGTTTCCTGATCTAGATTCCTCTCAGGTTGGTTCCTACTCTGGCACCCAAGTATCATGGAAGGCATCCCACCTCATCTGTGCCCTCCTTGTGCAACACCCTCCTCTCATGGCAGAGTTCGCCTTCCTCTGCGTGTGGTACATTTCATATAGCCCATACACCTCAGCAGTGCTCTGGTCATTTAATCTCTCAGGTGGTCCTTACAGTTGAAGAAGCACATTTTCTTTTAATTCTGCTCTATACATGCAGCTTCTGTTTTCAGCATTAACTTGTGGAAAGATGGTGCTGTTTGAGAAGCTGCAAGCTTCTCCCTGATTATGATCAGGCTGTAAATTTTGACTTGGTGGTATTGTTCTGTGCCATCAGTCTGTGCAGCCCACCAGTTAAAAAGTGAGTGGGGCTGGTGCTAGCTCCATGTGCACAAGACCTAGTTCACGGCTGGGATGTTAGCCTGCCTGATTTAAGCTAGTAATTACTTGCCTGTTTTGAGTGGATAAAAGGTGCACTGAAAATCCTGATCTGATGCTCTCTCTTGTAAGTACAAGCATTTACAAAATGGTATCTGTTTCACAGGTGTACTGTCAAAATATACCTTTGACGCCACCTCTGCCCTCAAGCCTTCCCCCCTACGCCCCTGTCAGCCAGCCCACGGTTCAGTTTATCATGCAGGGTAGTCTTCCAGCGCTTGGCTGCATGGCAGGACAGAGCCTGACTCCAGAGCCGGGCAGCCTGGCTACTGCATCTGAACCAGGAATCCAAACCGCTTCTGTTGGAAACGCAGAAGAAAAGATCAAAGCACCCAAACCTCAAGTGGATAAAACGAAAAATGAGGAAGTGAGTGAATGCTATTAAGTAGTAAACGCATAAAATTAATAAGCTGTTTATTTGAACTTCTAAAGTTTGGGGGTTTTTAACTCTGTATTGTATTTTCCCAGCCCCTGTTGTCACTGTTGTTTTTGGTGACTGACTATGCTAACCCAGGAGTGGCAGGCAATCCTTTCTGTGATCAGGTTTTACTCCATTTGATGATTCTACTTTCTGTGGTTTCATCGCAATAAGACAGAGAGGGATTAAAGCATCTAAAATACATTCTTGAAGTTCTGAAACTTTCTCGCATGAATGTTTGGAAGGGACTTTCCAGAAGCCAGAATCTCCTAATTTCTCTAAACACCTGGTCGTCTCCTTTCCCTTCCAGCTTTGAAGTTAATGTCAATTCTCATAACAGTGCTATAGAGAGATAGGGCTGTATCTTGCTGCTTATCAGCACTAAAAAATGCAGAGATAGTAAATTATTTTGGAGGTTTTACAGTGCTAGTCCCTTGCTGCTGAGTTTTGGGTTTGCTGTACAGACCATCTGATCTAAGCATAGTGGATGTTAACACAAGAACAGAAGCTTCTTGGCCAATTGTTTTACTTCCTACCACAAAACAAAACAGTAAGATACTTTTCCCACCAAACCTCCATTTATGAGCAACAGTTTTTATGAATTTGTTTTGACACAATATGTTCTGATGTCATCTGTAATCCTTAATGTACAAGCAACTCTGCAATTTTCAGAATGCCTTTAGAGCTGCCTATATTTGCAGATGTTACTTGCAGCTTTTAGAATCTGATGCCTTTTGATGTGTGTATGTTTACTTCAGAGCTGTTGGAAGGGAAGGAGGAGACCAAAATTAGTAAGTGGACATTGTAGTCACTTGCTTAAAACACATTCTCTAAGGCACAGAGTAAATGTTACATAAAACAAGGGTTCCTCGTAGTGCAAACTGGTATTTCTTTCAAGACTGCAGTTTACAGTAGAGGAAACCACTTTGGGGTTAGCTCTTACTTTGACTGTTGAAACAGTGAAATGAGCATTTTCATTGTTAGAGCATTTCTAAGAAAAATAGATTCAGAAACTATTCCCAAGATAGCACAAGGTAGTGAACTTCTCTTTGCTGTGCAGTACATGAAGAAGCTTCACATGCAGGAAAGGGCTGTGGAAGAAGTGAAACTTGCTATTAAACCTTTTTACCAGAAGAGGGAGATTACAAAGGAGGAGTACAAGAACATTCTTCGGAAAGCAGTGCAAAAGGTAAGGTGACAATGTGTTTCACCATGAAGAGGAGGAGCTGTGGAGATAGTTAAATAAGTGGCAGTACTTTGGATTGCCCTTCCTGGCTTCAGCAATTACATGCCATAACTGAGTAGCAGATCTTTGGACTCTTGACTAATCCTCTGCAGTCTTGTGGTGAAGCAATAGTTGCTTTATGCAGGGCTGACTGGTGCCATTGAGAGCTGTCAGACTGTTCTTTTTAAAAGATTGTGTTTCAGTGGTCCGGAACATTGCTAAGCTTCAGCTGCCTGAGCTGAAATGTTGCACAGTACGTGCGGTAGGTGAGAATGGTCAAATGTCTCATTAAGAACTTTGGCCAGAATCGCCAAGCTGTTTCTGATAAAGTGAGAAGATACTTTGTGTGTTAATTCCTTGAGCATCTGTGGTGTTCCTGAACTTTGGAAGAGGGCCTTGCAAATTGGCTGATGTTGACTTTTGTCTCAAATCTTAGTGCTGACCAGATCCTGGCTAAAACAGACCTGATCAGCAGGTAGATGTTGTCTTGTGAGAGCAATTAATGCTCTTGTGGTCAAGGCAGTTAAATAATACCCCAGACAACTGTATTCTCTCCCTGCTCTGCGTTCCTGCTATCACTGAGAAATTCCATTATACATCAAAATTCACATCAATTCATCAATGAATGATGAAAAATATTCATCAGTTTCACATCTCCCACGTGACCCATGTGAACCTCAAGTGTGGTTTGCAGGAGAGCTGAGCAACACCAGTTCCTGCTGCCTCAAGTGTGGTTTGCAGGAGAGCTTAGCAACACCAGTTTCTGCTGAAGTCACTGAACTGAACTGTTCTCCGAACACTGAAAATTTTTTTGTAGGGTCTGTACTCTTTCTCCTCTCAAAACTGCCAGATTCTTTTAATCTGAGCATCACTTCCTCAAAATCTTCAGAAAAAACAGGAAATCAACACTTCGTGGTTACCATGTATTGTGTAAAACTGGCTGGCTGGAAAAGCCTGTAGTAAATATTAATAATTCTGCTTTCAGAGATGCTTCTGGATTCGATTGGTGCTTAGTAGATAAGCCTTGGGTCATTTGTGGAATGCTTAAAGTAAAATATTACTTGTTGAGTTTTCTGCTTTATGTATCCTGCTATGAGACTCGAGGGCTATGCAGGACTTAGTTCCCCTAGTAAGCTTAGGGCTGCTTTACCATCTGTCTTGCCTGCCTGAACTGTTGTTAATACTGTTAATTGACCAAATGCCTTTTCTAATCCCTTGTAGATCTGCCACAGCAAAAGTGGAGAGATCAACCCCATGAAGGTAGCTAATCTGGTGAAGGCATATGTGGAAAAATACAAACATATGAGGAAACATAAGAAATCTGATGGTGAAGATACACGTGAGGTGGAAAACAGAGCAAGCCACAGCCAGCATGACTTGGACTGAACTTACTCTGGCTGTGAACACTATGCCAGAGGGAATAATAGATCTGCAGTTGCATCTCATTGAAAATAAGCAAGATAATAATAGGATTTACCTGTGGAACCTTCTTTTGATTTGTTTCCATATGGGAATGAACTTGGGTTGTTTGGGTTTTTTTATTACCTACAGATGTAGAACTAAATAACAATCAAATGCCTCAGACCAGCAGAGTAATTCGAGGGGAAACACAGAAGAAATTAATATTTGGGACTCCCGGATTGCTACAGTTTTCAGGGTTACTTTCAGTACATTTTTGGGCTGTGCACCTGTCTTGATAGAAGTTTGAAACTGGACACCACTTTTCATATACAATATATTGAGAGCTGTATACTGTTCCCCTTGTGTTTATTTATCAAAATATGGATTGTCTTTAGAAACTTCTGATTTAATACTTGAAATGTATTTTTAGCCCATTCGATGGTGAGCGAAGCTTTACTCGCTCTGTCATTTGGGGATTGCAGAAATGAGCTAACCTTTATAAACTGACTTCAGAAACACTGCTCAAGCCGTGGCGTTTATTTACATTCTGTTGGAAGTATCTTGTTAGTGAAAAGTTTAATTTTGGGGTGGGAGGCTGTGTTGCACTTCTGTAAATAATGCACTGATGGCTGGTTTTATGTCTGCCTTTCAGGAAAAAAACGAAACAAAAAGCAAGCATTGTGAATTTTCAGTAACAAGCTGGAGGGATAAGGTTGAACTGATGTACAAAAGCAGAAATGTGATAGAATTTATAAAGTTATTTTGAATGGTTTTAGTCCTATAGCAGGTGTCGTTTGTTTGTCGTGCAGCTGCCTCTTGCCCTGGCTTTTCTTCATAAACCTGTACACTTGGCTTTTGTGTAAGGAATACTGTGTTTCTAGAAGAGGATTGGAGTTGGACAAGTAATTGTTCCTCCTCCTCTGTAGGTGGACTGGTTTTGCTATCAAGAAGCAAAGGAGTCCAACATACGTACTGACTTCATCTTGCTTTCTTTAAAAGCTCTCCTTGTCTGCATGTGCTGCAGAGCAACTGATCTTTTCAGTGATCATCTGAAATACAGTCATATACAGAAATATATATTCAGCACCCTTGAACCTGAGAAAAAGCATCATTCCTCATCTAGCTGTGTTAGGGAGAAGACATTTAACAGGGAAGCTGAAGAGAAAACCGGTAAGTTACAACTTAAAAACCATCTTTCCTTTCAATGGGAACTGAATGTACGTGGCCTATTGGACCAGATGGCAGCAACATACCTTACTTGAGGGCTTTCCTAACATCTTAGAGTGCACTTGGAAACTGCGCTCTTCAAGGATAGTCTTGCTGCTTGTCTTCAAAGAGAAGACAGGCTCTCTGGGATTAATTTTACAAAGCAAGTAATTGCAGCTTCTATTTTTTTATTATTTTTTTTTTCCTGGTGAGCGTAGGAAAACTTACAAAAACTTACTTTGATCCCTTGCTGGCATTCTGAACTTTTCAGTGAACTCTGATTTCAGTCATAAGAAAGACTTGTATTTATTTAAACAAAACAAGCCCCATATACCAGTACTGTCTGGACTGGCAAAACGCTTCACTCCTGTCATTCACCATCCTACAGAAGTGTTGATGGATGAGCCCTGGGCATTTTGGAGTTGATGCTCCTTTGCTCTCTTTGCTTCCTGTATGAAAGTGCAGCCTAAATGGAGTATAAGGGATTGATAACTTTGGGCTTCCTTTGAAGATTTTGGAACAAAGGCTCACTAAGACTGCAAAAGAATAGCTGGAAGAGAAGCTTTAATTTTAAAGCTAAACTTGTAACTTGAATATATACCTAGCAGGTGGCTGTGGGGTTGTAAATACAAACACCTCTGATGAATTCTTCGCAAAATAAAGTTCAGAAACTTTGATGGCCCAGTAGGCACAAAAATGAGAGAATCTAGAAATTGGCTGGAAATTGGACACCTATCAGAGGAACAATTCTGGAATAACCTGCCTGCATGAGTGAAAAAAGGGTAAGTGGTGTGGAAAACAGCTTAACCAAATAATAGAAGCAACTACACTATTGACCAGGAAGACAATGTCAATCTGTTTTGTTCCTCAGACTGATTCACTGCTTTAAATTCTTGGTGTTAGCCTTGAATTAGCAGTAAAGGTAACAGCCCGTTGCAAGATGCATTAGGAATACATGTACTGTAAGGACTTAAATTTCAGTTACCTCTGCACCTGCCATTGCCTGGAGGAGCAATAAGGCTGAAAACTAGACCTTCTGCATGTGCTTTTGCCTGAAGTTACTTCTTTCATTCTGTCTACTGTTACAAATAAAACCATCAAATGGTAAGCTGCCCCTTGGGAGAGGCAATGAGACACATACCTAAAAATGCCTCTTCCGGCATGTTATATAAAACGGTTTTTCTAGTGTACATGTATATTACTTGCATTTTTTCCTTTTTGGTTGACCCTCATAGATCAGATGTTGCCACCTGTTTAAAGGAAGAAATCTTATTTATTCAACACGTGCAATAGTTCGGTAGTAGCGTAACCTCTTGTTAGTGTCGTTTCCCTCCTCTGCAACAGTGGTAACACCAAAAGTTCCTTTAGCAAAGGCAGTGGCGCTTCTGTGAGATGTTGACTCAGGAGCTACTCTGCCCCAATCGTTGGAGGTCAACCTATAAGACAAAGCTGCTTTTGGGACATACCCAAGGCCCTGGTGTTTGGCCAGAGGTGCTTGGGTTGTTGGGAGCTGCTGTAAGGATGGATGGAGAAAGAGAGGGTGGGGTTCCTGGGCAGAGCTCAGGGAGGCGGGGAGAGAAGTAAGAGTAGGAAATGAAAGGGGGAGGCTGAGCTACCAGGAGGATCCAGCCAGTGCCACGCTGCAGGGCCATGACCCAGCCCAAAGCCTGTGAGTAGCTGCCCCAGCTTTTTGCTGCTCTGGTGGGAGCCCTTTGACTTGTCTTGCTGATGGTGCTGGAGGAGAGACCGCGCGTTTGGGAGAGGGTGAAAGCTTGCTTTCCTGCTGGGCTCGTTCCACATCCCAGGTTTAGGTTTTGATGTCAAGAACTGATGATGAGTCGGTCCTGAGCAGGGTGCCTTGCGCAAGGGGATGCTGTGCTCAGTGTCATCTGGCGAGGAAGTGAAATGAGGGAGAGGAAAGCAAATCTGACTGCGTTTTGTTCTAGTAGCGTGTGATCCCCATCCCACATCCCCCTGGCGCTCTTCTTGCCTGCAAACTTCTCTGCTCTAAACACCCTCCTTTTGGGAATCTTCTCAGCCATCACCGAGTCCCTTCTTGTGCACCCTGTCCTACAGTGGACCCCACTATCCCTGTGTTATTCCCTGGTCTCCCAGGGCTGGGAGCATTTCTATGGGGAATTGCAGCTTGCATCTGGAGCTGGGGGAGGATGTGAGAGAGGAAGTGTCTGAACTTGCTAGTCTTGGCCTCAACACATCTCCCTAGTTGTGGTCAAGAGCTGGAGGGGGGGGCTGGGTGAGTTATTTGGAGAGCAGGTCTCCTCCTGATATCGGCTCTGCCCTGCCAGCTGGGATTAGAAACCTGCTGGTTTGGGGGTAAATGCATTTGTGGCTGGAGCTGTCACAGTGCTGCAAGGAGAGTAAACCCGTTACCATGACGCTTGGCCTACAGGTCAATGTCTGGTGGGCACCATTTCTTCCTGTGTCTTCAGGCACAGCCAAGATCCTTGTGCCTCGGCTTTGGTTCCTCTCTTGAGAGGACACAGGAGCTGCTCGAGCAGCAGCTGTGGTTACGCTGTTCAACCAGCTCCTTTGTTTTGCCTCTGCTTTGCCTTGCTGGCCAAAATGTTCCCCAAGTTGTGCAGAGGTCAAGGGAAAAAATGGTCTGTGACCACAAGGGTGACAGCCTGTCTTAACCACCTTCCCTGTCACATGCATCCAGGTCAAGAGCAGGAGGACAGTTTGCGTGAAGTGACTCTCTCTACCCAGAGGCTGCGTGTGCTGCCTCCATCAGTCCTGAGCAACCCTGTGCTGGAGAGCCTTAACCTTGACAGGAACAAGCTCAGGAGCATCACCGGCATTTCTAAGCTTTGCAATCTGAAGAAGCTAATACTGTCGAAGAATGAGATTGTGGACTTTCCCAACGAAATCCAGAGCCTGGTCTATTTAGAGAAGCTTGAGCTGAATCAGAACCAAATCCGGGTCATCCCAGAGGGGATACTCTCCCATCTCCCCAGGCTTAAACACTTGCGGCTGAATAACAACCGTCTCAGTGCCCTCCCCAGGGATCTGGCAGCTTGTCGAGGCAGCCTTCAGTACCTCAACATCTCCAACAACCTGTTCCGGACCTTTCCCCAGCCTGTCCTGCAGCTGGCACACTTACAGGAGCTCCATGTGCAGAATAATGCCCTTCGCCAGCTCCCCAAAGAGCTCTTCCAGGGGCAGTCCCTGAAAATGTTCAAAGCCAATGGGAACCCACTCCGGGAGCCGCCCAGCGAAGTGTGCACTGGTGGCATCCAGCAGATCCGGAATTACTTCAACCAGCTTCAACACAATTCGGGGCAGGAGGATAAGAGGGTCAAGACCATGTTCCTGGGGGCCTCGCTGGCAGGGAAGTCTACCATCTGCAAAAGCCTGAAGCAAGGGCAAACAAAACTAGTGCCCAAAGAAGAGCGAACAGTTGGGATAGAGATCAGTGAGTTCCGGATCGAGGACTTCACGTTTCTCTTCTGGGACTTTGCCGGCCAGCTGGAGTACTACGTGACTCACCATGTGTTCATCACTCCACAGGCGTTTGTCATCCTTGTCATCAATCTCCACATGTAAGTGCTGAGCTAGTTTGGATTCAAAGTGGAGTGGGAGAAGAAAAAAGGGGCTGAAGAAGCTTTCCCCTGCATGGGTTCACACCACTTCCACTGGACCATGATGCCTGGTCTTCTCACCACTGGAGTAGTTAGCTCTCCCTCTCCTGCTTTTTGCAGATCAATCTTTTAATTAAGCCAATAGATCTGTTATCACCTTACCAAAGTCCTCTGTTTTGAGGGGCTAGATAAGCATTAACTCCTTATGTGGCAATTGTTCCCCATCTAAATGGCTTTGCCTTATGCCTTGGAAATATGTCTATGAGCCCTCCTGTATCTTGTGGTGCTCCCTGAACATGGAGGGAGCAGCAGGCTTGGGCTTTGTGGTACAGAAGTATGCTCCCATCCACAGCAGGGATGGACTGTGCTACCCCCTATAGCTTTAACTGGCTTAGTTTAAGGATGGAAAACTTAAGGATGAGTTTGAATATGACCCATAATAGCTTAGGAGACCTGAGCTCTTCTCCAGTAAGTCCCTGGGACAATACAGGGTGCATGGTCAAGCCTGTGCTGGTGGAAGTTGGCTGGAGATCCAGAGGGTTAGACATGAATTTGGGATTTTGTTTCTCTCCTTCCACAGGTACCAAACTAATGACAAGACTTTCAAGGACCTTGTCGGTTTCTGGATCAACAACCTGTCCATGCGAGTTCCAAACTCAGTGGTGCTTCCCGTGGGAACCCATGTGGATTGCTGTCGGGAGGAGGAGGTGGAAGAGAAGAGGCGTGACATCATGGCCAAGATCGCGGCCATGCTGGTGGAGAGAAAGAGCAACCTTGCTCACTTCATCAACAACCTGGAGGGCAGCGAGGAGCCCGAGTTTTACGTGGACCAGTGGGAGAGGCTGAAGGAGATGGAGAACTGCACCTTAACAGTAGGGCTGAGATTATTGCAGTTCAATGCTGTCTGTGATCACCCTGTTGTCTTTGGCAGCATGGTGTGCTACTGGTG